ACAAGAGATTTCTTCACTTCGAACTTTTATCAAACAGGTAACAAGCACTGTTCTATCAATCGAGTATCTTCAAGTCTGGGAATTTGATAAACCCAGAAAAAAAACACATAGAATCAGCAGATCAGAGGGTTGAGAAGAGAAATATATGTTGTAGAGAGTATGTGGAAGCGTTGGATCCATCTATGGCGAGAATACCATGTTAAGACTGCAAAGAAATCTTGAGGAAAAAGACTTAGAATTCTGAATAAGCTCAGCGAAGAAGAGAGAGAAGAGAGAGAGGAGAGAGAGAGAAAATCAAGCTTAGAGAGAAGAAAAGTTTGTTGTATTTCTTGACAATGAAGTAACAGATTTACAAAGTCTGTTATATAGTTTTTACAAAGCTTTATCACTAAGCTAAAGACTAACTACCTTATAACAACCTATGTTATCTCTTGACAAGTGTCACTCAATATAACCATTGATTCATCTTCCACATGGATATTGGTTTTCTTCACTTCACTTTTCTTGCACGAATGGCGCATTCAAGCCCTTTTATTTTTGGAAGTTAATATATTATTGTCCTTATCATCATGTATTTTCTTTAGTAATATAATATATGGGCAAAAAAGTTGTCACCATCTTCTTCATCATAATTAATAACATTATGTAATGAATAATATGAAATCAGAATGACTAAGTATCTCCAATTAAAAGAGAGGTGTGAGATGTTTGGAGAATTAGAACTATTGTAGAAGACATAAAATGGTTGGCTTCCTCTTTTAATTTAGTGGAATAGAACAATTTGTATATTTGAGATGGTTGTATTCCCTATCAAGCTAGGAATATCCTGTTGTATGACTCTAGAGGACTCGAGTGTTCCAGAGGCTTCTCCCTTAATTAATTTCTTTCTTTTTTCCTAAAAAAAAATCCATATTCAAAAGATAGTAAACTTTGTTCATTGTACAATAAATTTAAAAAGACGATACCATTTTTTTACATCATGTGATTTACAAAATATAATCTAAAAAACTAGTTTCTCTAGCATTTTCCTAAATTTAAATCTTGATGGTGGACTTGTTTAGACGTAAACGAGTGAACATTGAACAATAGAGGTTTTTTGTTTGAGAGTAAGTATTGACCATTGCTTGAAACTTAGAGGCAATTAAGTGCGTCCAAAAATGATGAACAAAGCAAACAAACTGCAGAAGTAAGACAAAAGAAAAGTGGAAATATTATATTTTCAATCATCTTAATTTCACTCTTTTGTTCATTCTCCTCTTTCTTTCTTTCGTTCTTTCTTACATTGTCCTCCAAAACCATAAGTCGCATCTTTTTGTCCTTTTCAATTGTGGCCAAAATCTTTTCGTTTATTTTACGTAAATATGTAATTAATTAATAGTATACACGTAATGTCCATACGTAAGGAGTTGTAATACGTGTAAATATATTTGTATGTCTTCAGTTAGTTATATTGAGCAAGAGATTTCAATATAAATAGTATATTATAAACGGTGTCTCTCCAATATTGTATTGTGGTCGAAGTATTCATGCATGGTGCATTCACAATTAAAAAGATCGAAATATCAACAATATTAATACTAATGGTTATTCACACTTTTAAACATTGCAGTTAAAGAGATGGATGCATGGCACTTACTTTTTTATACGATTTTTCATTCACGTTCTATCTTTTAGAACATCATTCTAGATCATTCTTGTAAAAAATTAGATAAGTTTAAAACTATTAAGACATTTATTTGTAATGAAGAAAATTGACGAATAAGGTTCTACCAAAAAAATCATAAACCCTTAACAATCATATGGTTTCGCATTTGGATGATTTTTGGTAGATATGATCTTTGAAGGAAGATCTAAAAGATAGACTATTCATATTTTTGAAATACATACGAAGCAAACCGCAGAATAATGTTTGCCAAAAGTTGTGAAAAAAAATGATGCCACGGATAAATCCATCTATAAAAAAAATGACTACAAAATATTCGTATAACCAATGTAGTTATATACAGTTATGCACAATGACATGATATGTTTGCAAGCTCATTTATAATAGAATCAAATTTTATGGTTGTAAGTAATATCATTTGTATTACAATGTGTCAACGCTATGATTTTTAAGTAGCATTAGACTACTAGCTAGTAGTTATAAGATCAATTAATTTCCTATATTTAAGGTATTTCCGCGCCGAACGCTCAATGCTTGCTAGTAAGACATTCCGTATACAGGACATGAGAAACCTGCAAGTTTGACATGGCTTCAATTAACATCGACGTCCCCAAACTTTTTTTAATGCAAAATTTGGCGGGGGAATTATAAAACCCTAGAAGGCCTGACGTGCCTCCAAGTGGCAGCAACCCACGTATCCCTCCCTCAGTCCTTCACTTGCCATCATCTTTTCTTTTGTCTTCTAATGTCAAGTTTCCAAACAGAAATTTCCAAGAGTTCATGCAATTACGTTGTTCTTTTCTTTCTTTCCCCATCATTTTAGTTTATAACACTAAAAAAATTATGAAACGTTCTTCTTGTTCCAGATTTCAACGAAAAGGTCCTCGAAAGTGTTTTGTTTGCTCTTTGACCTGAACCTGAATCCTAAACCCTAAACTCTAAATTGCAACGGCGGAACCGAGCAGTTTCTCCCGTTTGTACCAACAATTGCCATTAGTGACATAACAAATGGATGTAGCCCTTGTTCCTCCTCTAATGGTTTCCACGGGATTTTTGCCGACTGGGTCGTTGTTACAATCATTGGTTCACATATGCAACGAAGTTTGCTCCATGGAAAAGCTTCCGGTTCTGCAGGGCCGGAACATCTCCACCATGATAAGGAGGATCAGGCTCCTGGCTTCTCTGTTCGAAGAGATACAAGAACCAAACGGCCCGCTTCCTCCCTCTTCGATCCTTTGCCTCACGGAGCTTTTCTCGGTGATTCGAAGAGTCAAGTTTCTGATCCAAGATAGTAAAGACGGGAGCTCTCTGTGGGGGCTTATGCAGACTGAGTTGGTTTCGAATCAGTTTTACGTGCTGGTGAAGGAATTGGGGAGGGCTCTTGATATTCTGCCACTGAGTTTGCTTAAGGTGACGGCAGATATCAGAGAGCAGGTCGAGCTTCTTCACCGGCAAGCGAAAAGAGTGGAGCTTTTTATCGATCTCAAAGAGCTGCAGAGAAGAGAAGAGCTTTTGGTTTTGATGGGAAGCAATAGTGAGAAGAACAAAGCGTTCATAGATTTGGTCAAAGTGAGAGATATTCTGAGCAGCATTGGGCTGAGAAACACCGTGGATTACGAAGAAGAAACCTCGAAGCTCGAGGCAGAAGCTCGCAAGCAAGCAGGCAGCGGAGGGCTGATTGTGGTGTCAAACATAAACAATCTCATTTCCCTTGTTTCGTATTGCAAGACCATCATTTTTACTGATGATGAATTCAAAAAACTGAGTAAAGAGGATATGAAACTGCACTGTGTCCCCTCGGGTAGATATTATGATCATTCTTCATCATCTAAATCGTTGATTCCCAACGTTCCGCATGAATTTCAATGCCCGATTTCATTGGATTTGATAAGAGACCCTGTTATTGTAGCATCCGGGCACACTTATGACCGAAATTCGATTGCACAATGGATCAATTCAGGGCACCAGACGTGCCCCAAAAGCGGGCAGAAGCTGATTCACATGGCGCTTATTCCAAACTATGCACTCAAGAGTCTAATGCAACAATGGTGCGAGGAGAACAATGTTCCCACAACTAAATCTTCCCAGTCTTCTTCCTCCGATTTGGAGAGGAGCAACAGTAAAGGGAGATGTATGCGGACGCTGTCGATCACATTTCAGTTGCAAAAGCTGCTGCTGATGCTGTGAAATTGACAGCTGAGTTTCTGGTGGGAAAACTAGCAACTGGCTCACCGGATATCCAAAGGCAAGCGGCGTATGAGCTCAGATTACTTGCTAAAACCGGCATGGATAATAGAAGGATCATAGCTGAGGCGGGAGCTATTCCGTTTTTGGTGACGTTGCTGAAATCCCATGAACCGAGAATTCAGGAAAATGCGGTTACTGCACTGCTCAACCTCTCCATCTACAACAACAACAAGATTCTGATCATGGCGGCAGGAGCAATTGACAACATAGTAAACGTCTTGGAATCAGGGAACACAATGGAAGCAAGAGAGAATGCAGCAGCAGCAATTTTCAGCTTGTCCATGATAGATGACTGCAAGGTAACGATTGGAAAGCACCCTAGAGCGATTCCGGCCTTGGTGGGGCTTTTGAAAGAAGGCACTCCGGCTGGTAAAAAAGATGCTGCCATAGCACTCTTCAATCTTGCAGTCTACAATGCCAACAAGGTGAGCATTGTCTTTGCCGGGGCGGTTCCTCTCCTCATCGAGCTGTTGATGGATGACAAGGCAGGCATTACGGATGATGCCTTGGTAGTGCTTGCTCAGCTTTTGGGTTGCTCTGAAGGGATGGAAGAGATTGGGAAAAGCAGGATTTTAGTGCCTATTCTTATCGATCTCTTAAGATTTGGTTCTCCAAAGGGGAAGGAAAACTCAATCACTCTTCTGCTGGGGCTGTGCAAAGACGGAGGAGAGGAGGTTGCAAGACATCTGTTAATGACCCCGCGGAGTATTCCTTCTCTTCAGAGCTTGGCTGCAGACGGATCCTTGAAAGCTCGAAGAAAAGCCGATGCACTGCTTAGATTACTGAATAGGTGCTGCTTTCAATCTCACAATCAGATTGGATGACAGTGTTGAGAGTGTTTGGATAGATACAATTCAGGTGTATATTTGTGAAAATTAAGCACAGAAATCACAGTACTGTTCATTTGTTACTGCAAATTGATCCCAAAGCTAGAAGTGTTGTTTGTTTCCAGAACTGTATATTTTCCCTTCTTTTTTTTTTGAGTCCATATGATTCATACCTTTCCGAAGAGAGCGAAAAGGTTCAAACCCAAGATACATGCACAGCAACTATATTTCTTGCCAGATCTACTAAAGAGCTAGATCGAAAATGAAGTAATTGAATACATTTTATTGCTTCATCAATTTTACATCAGTTTCTCGAGAAGGCAACAACCTGTTGCCCCTCGCCGATGATAAAAGAAATAAGTAGATACAATGAGCAGCTGGAGTGACCCTAAGGGTATGACGCTCTTAATTTAACATACTATTGCTTAAAAAAGGGGAAGGAGAAGAAGCAATTCCAAAGACGAAATAGGTTTAACTATGTTAAACCAGTCAGACCAGAGCATGCCGGCTTTGATGCTGTTATGAGGGTGAGTTCCAAATCCTTTGGTGAACCACGATTCACCTATGACGAGGATGAGTATTTCGTATAGCGTTTTACAACTCTACCAATTCCAACTGAATGTGTGTGCCCCTTATCCTGTACTCCCAGAACCAGGTTCCACTATCCATCATGTTCTGTTCAATGGGATCTAATCGGGTGGCTAAACCTGCAAAATCAATGAAATGGTGCATCAATTGATGATTGCCTAGCACTGATTTAAGGATGTGACAATACATTCAGGTATGTGAGCGTGCAAGAGAGGAAGGGATTCAGTTCTAACTCTCAATGTTAGGCTCAACTCTACCGTCTCAGATATAAATTTCCATGTTTCATCAAACAATTTCCCATCAGTCTTTAGTGACATAGCAGGAGACCAGAGTACTATTCACATACTCGCATTGCCAGGTATAATAAGTAATACATTATGCTGATTATCTGTAAGAGTGCTTTTACGAAAAGTCAATTCTAGTCGGAGTTAGATATCTGAAGTCAACAGCCAAGTTAACTTTACAGTTTACATACCTGAATCTCCCGCTGTGATCTTCATTTTGTAGCCATTTGGAACTTCAAATGTATGATTTCCCTGCATCCGGTTGTAAGCAGCAAAATAAGCTTCATAGATTTTACTTGTAAAATAAATTCATGATTTCTGAATATACGCGGCAAAGGTGACCTCCTAACAATTAGATGTAACTTCCGTTTTCCAAAGTCATCGGAGGAAATATCCCTAATGGAATGAAGAGAAGCTTATGACTGGAGGTCATATCCCTAATGGAACGATAAATAAAAAATCTATGAAATTCAATGATTTCTGAAAAACTTTGTCTATCCTCCGTGCATATCTCCACTAATTGGTTGTCAATCTAACCTGTAAGATAACATCAGTTGCCTCAAATTCAGCATTTCCATGCAGTACAACCTTGCAAGCCTCGAGGCGTTGAACATCATGCTTCCAGTACACATTGTCTTCAAAGTTCCAGTCAATTCCATCATTTAGTACTTTTACATTTTGCAATTTACATCTTCCACACCTGTGGGATGAATGTAGTATGAGTCCAATTTTAAAATGGGCTCACCATTTCTGAACAGTCTTAAAATGTAGTAAGGATTAACACAGCATACTACCTGTGCCCATATTGTAAAATGGGTTCACCATTTTGATCAATCCTAGTTGAGCCCATAACGTTATCAGCCTCTACAATCAGGCTTCCATCAAGCTGGACAGTAGAAAACAGATTAGCTAAGGAAACAATAATATTCCTTAATGTGTTGTATGTGAACAGTATGAACCTGAACATTCCTCCACAGAAACTCTGCAACTTCTACTTGTAACTCAGAGCCCTCGGATACTGAGCCTCCATAGAACTGGTAGACAGAGACAATTTTCTGCTTAACTATTGAGCTCAATATTTTGAATGAGGAAAGGAAATAAAATAGGGAAGTGACTTGCCCACATCCCTTTTAGCTTCTCAAATGCCCCTCTTTATTTGTGGCCATCAGATTGAATAAATTAAACGAAACCAACGGCAAGGATTAAAAAGGGGTGTGCAAGAGGCCAAAAAGGGTGAGTGAAAATCACTTCTTATAAAACAAACCCAGCAACATAGTCTTGGTTGCTACGTGAATTTCTAAATGACCACTTGATTATTATAGCATGCGAAAATGGAGGCATAAAACAATGCAGATAGAATCTCAATATGGTAACTCGTGATAAAAGAATTCAGAAATACAATACAAACTAAATGCACATTCCAAGAGTAAAAGGAGAAAATGAGATAAACTTGAAATCGCGCATTAGCTCACATTGACTTACTTTTTGTCTGGTGACCTCCCAAAGCGGGCCAAGAGCAGGGTGCAGAAGAATAAGAAATGGTGGTCCCGAACTTTGATATTTTTCATTACTTCCAATCTGCAGCATATCAGAAGCAAAATACCATAACTGAGCATCAAAAAGAAAAATCATAAAAAACAAAAAACTTTATGGGTTGCTACAAGAAATGAATTTGCATTGAGCAAATACTTATGGGCTGTTTGGTATCCTTCTTGGATCCTTTTTTTTTTTTTGTTTTTGAAACTAATTGAGTACTAAGTAACTTAGCTACATTCATCATTTTTTCTTAAACTTGTACAATTGTTTTCAAATTGATGACCAAACAACCCATTAGTATCTAATGATAGCTCACACCATATGGAAGTAAGTTATTAACATTATTACAACAGAATTAAGAGGATGTACCTCAGGAAGTTCAATATCACATTGTGAAAGAAGATCATGGGCATTCCGTAGGATATCCAACAGTGAACCATCAGGAGTCTACACGTGAAATCAACTTAAACATATTAAACTTCGGGAGAAAAATTACATCTGTTCTGTGCAAAGAAAGTGTAAACTTAATTCAGTCCAAGCTCTACTCCCAAACTGGAGACAGAGAACACATACATACTTGGTGTAAAGATTTCTCCGCATGTCTTCTTTTCCTCTTAGCAGATGATGTGACCCTTCTTCGTTCATTATAAACAATGAAGGTATCAAGCTTATCTGCCAACAGTTATTGCCACTAAAGTTATTGACAAGCATAAACATAACGCGGATTGGTGTGCCACAATAATCCACCATATAGACTGAAATAATACCTTCAATACCCTTATAACATCGAGATGGACAAGTATTAAGAAAGCTGTCAGCAATATTTTGCATCGTGCATTCAAGCCTTCCACCAGAGACACTATGATAAATGAAAAGTGATTAGAGACTGGCTAATAATTATTCGTGTGCGCTACATGTTCTGACTCTTCTTATAGTGCACATTGTAATGATTTGCATACCATGCAGAGTAATTACTAGTTCGTTGGTGAAAGAAGGTAATTTGAGGTTATCTTTGCACATCTGCTGTCAAGTATTACTGACGACAACAAAATAGTCACTTGCAAAAAGAGCACTTAAGTTTTAAGAAAGTACCTGTGTTGTTTTCCAAATTGGTCTACAAATGTTATAGGCTTTTTAACATTCAGCACCATGCCTGGTAAGCTGTTTCCACTGTTACTTGACCCGACCAACTCTGCTGAAGGTAAATCTACATACAAGATGTTCGTATTGGCGGGAAACTCTGCCTGCAACCTTGAACATAGAATGGTTAATTAGTATAAAATGGAATTCATTAATAAGAAATCATATTGAATTTTCAACTTCTTCACACTTAAAAAGCATATTCAACAAGAAAGGAAAAGTAGAATGACGATATCACTGAATAACAACAATGGAAATCTTTAACAGAGAAAAAAATATATATTGTATAAGCTAATATGAGAGTAAGCATGTTGATCACATGACAACAAGCATCAAGGTAACAAATCATATAATATCATATAAACCAGATTAGAGATTTGGATTCACAGAAAAATGTATACCTATTTCGAGAATGAGGTCTATCTGCTATGCCAAACTTGTCGAACTCTGTGTACTCAATGCACGACAAACCATATGCCCACCTTCCATCAAGATTTTTTTTCTCAGTTAGGACATTAATTCCTTCTGTAGCCCCCAAGTTCCTCTTACAGGATGCAAACCCCAGTTTCTGTTGCAAGGCAAGAAGTCAAAACAGTAAACCAGAAGAACTTCCAAGTCTGTAAGGACTCTCTAGTAACATAGGTACTGTTGTGTAAACTCAAGCGAACTCCATAGCAATGAAAATAGATAAGGAGTAGAGTGTTTGATCTAAACAAACTTCCTGCTCTTTGGCAACTAAGGGTTAATTATTTAGCAGGTTCCAGAAAAGAGGGGGCTCTCAAATAACTTTTTAACAAGCATACCTTGCCGTGATGTAAACCAATCCCTGCCAGTGCCAAGAGAGTCAAATCTGTAGCGGCCACAACATTGCTGGAAGGTCACCATTATTTACGTCAATACAGAGTTTGGCATCCAAATTAACAAAATTCTCCAAATGAAGGAGAATAATGGACGTATGTTAATAAATTTAACGGCTCACCTAACTTGACGTACAGTTGCACCCTTCCGTCCATGATCATAAAACCATTTGAAAATGCCTTTATCATAAGCAAGTTTCCATATTACACCATGACCACCAGGCTTGCATACGGGTGCAAAAGGTTTTGTGATTATCCATTGCCCATTTTCTGCACCAATGGCTGGAACAAGGGGCTGAAAATGCACAAGTAATTAACTCAGCAATGACATTCATTGCTCAAACCAGATAGACTATTACACTGTGGACAACTAATAATAGAAAATAATCTCGTAGTTTCGCATATTAAACCTGTTCAAAAAGTTGGAAACTTGATCGACCTCTTCTAAACCATTCAAGCTTTTCACAAAGAGAAGTTATGTGTTCATGGTTGTTCTTTGCAGAGCTTGTCATAATTGCAACAGGGGTGATGCATTGTTTCCCGTACATCTTGAAGTACAAGAACTCTCTAGCCTTGAAATAGAAACATACAAAATGTAAGATGCATATAACTTCACCATCTACAAAATAGTCTTAATGTCAGCTTGTCCTTGTCAAGTACTAAGCTTGACAAACAGAGAACTTATACCTGAAGATCTCTTATAAGACCTTCCAATAAAGTCCGTCCACAATAAGGAAGCATTGCGGCAGGGAGACATTCACCTGTCTCGGGATCAACCAAACCAAGCCTGTCAGCAGAACCTCCCAAAGGGTAAATTTCACCTAGGTCTGGCAAACCCTAAAATGAATAAGATCTTTTAGTTCAAGAAAAACCGGCATTACATCCTTCCACGTCTAATGAACAAGATACCCCAGCACTAACCTGAATTCCCCATAATGCAGCTTGAGATGCATATTCTGCATTTTGAGAAAGATCAAGTCCACTGGGAGCATGAATTTCCAAAAACTGGCATTCCATTTGCTCTTGTATGCGCTTGGCCCAATTTGCAGTCTGCATTTCGACTCTCGATTGGGCTAGAATCTCCAATACTGTTATCTGGTATCTGCACCAAATATGTAATTAGATTAATTTCAATTCTCAATTTACAAGGGCCAAAAGTACTTTCTGCCACCAAAAGCACTTCTATCTACGTTTGGCATAAAAACTTAAAATTGCTTCTGGATCATAGAAGCACTTCCTAAATAAGCATTCTCAACTGCTTCTCCAGTAAGCACTTGAATTTTTAATATGAATCATTTCAAAACTAATATAGAAATTGGTATAAACAATGAAATTACTATAATTAAAGTTTAAAAATTGACAATAAAATTCAGAAGGGAATAGTTAACTGACCCAATAATTCCTCCAATGCAGTTATAAAACTGTTCAATTTCTCCCAAATTCTTCAGGAGCTTCTTCAAGTCCTTAAAATCTTCATCATTCAAAGCCAAACCTCCAATCTTCATCCCGGAACCCTCGTCGTTCACATCCAATTTCTCAATCATTGCGACAAGCGCGTAAAGCGCGGTCTTCACCGAGCTCATCGCCGTCTCCACCTCGCCGTCGTCGAACTGGAGCCCCCAACCGAGCACATGCTCTTGCCCAGCAGCAACCAAGCACTTGAACAAGAACAGCTCTTCAGAGCTCAAATTGAGCGAACCTAAAGCCGCGGAGAAACCGCCGTTGCTGCCGGAATTGAAAAATCGCTTCACTCTGGAATCGCCGTCGATCACTCTGAGCTTGGCGCAGAGGGAATCGCAATCAGCGAGCCTGGAACGGAGCGATTTGAGGCGCGAGAGCTCCTGGTGGAAGTCGAAGTCGGGAGCTGACGGCGTGTACTCTACCGGAACGGTGGTGACGCGCGTGATATGACACGACGGCGAACTCGATGATACAGAAGATGAAGAAGAAGAAGAAGAAGAGGAGAAAGAGTGGGAGTGTGGGGGTTTGGTGAGGCGGAGAGAGGCGAGAGAGTGGAAGTGAGAGTGGGGAGTTTTGGACGTGAAGAGCAAGCGTGTGTTGTTTTGGTTGAGAATTGGGGTTGTGCGCGCCATTTTTCACACACACACACAGAACCAGAGCGACTGACAGAATATGAAGAAGAAGAAGAGGGGGGAGGGAGAGAGAGAGAGAGAGAGTGTGTATGTGGATGGAAGGATAAGGAAGAGATGCTGAAAGAATATACGGAGGTTGGGAGTGAGAGCGCGAAAGGGGAGGTAATTTTGGCTTCTGATTCCAAAACCGTCCAACGATGGTGGAGGATGATGATGACGTGGCCTAATTTAAATGCACCTCATCTGCTGCCGTCTGACTGCCGACTGGTCCGTCATATTTTTCTTAATACTTTCCGTCAATTTTCCTGCGCATTTGTGTCTTTTTCTTTCCACGTTTATTTATTTATTTATTTTTTGGCTTTTTAGCGGTTACCTCAAGTAAAACAAATTCATGAAACGCGAGAAAGAACAAAATGAAAATGGGATAAACGTACAAAAATACAACTATATGTATAGTGACTCTCTTGTAATCTCAACGCTTTGATAATGATTGTTTTACATATATTCACATAAATTTATATTGGACCTCGATAAAACTTTGTTGTAGCACCCGATATAAGGAAAAAGAGTATTCTGCACGACGAAAATACCTATCCCCAAATGTCAATACATAAACAAATTACAAGATATCCCTAAGCAAATGAGGGAAATCTTCCACCCACCAAACATGTAGCATGTAACCATTGTTGTGCTGTGAGCGTCAACCGTGCGGCAAAGCATGCAACCATGGCTTCCATAGTTCTTTCCACATGCTGCAAAACCAGCCTGAACCACCAGCTGAAAATGTCTCCAACAAATTGGAGGTAACTCTACGCCAAACGCCGTATACAATCTTCAGACAGGCGCTTTCCTAGAAAACCTAAGGAGACCTAGGAACCCTAGAAAGCAAAATCAAAGCGGATCTCCCAGCACCGAGAGGGAAAGGCAGAGGTGGCACCTAATGCCAACAACCCAAAAACCAAACACAAACACTGATTCAGACCCAAAAATAAAGAGACACAGGAGGGCAAGGTATGGATGTGAAGGTTAGGGGGGGTGGAGAGAACATGGGATATGGGAGGAAGGTGGAAGGCTGAAACGGGATGGCCAGGAGAGAAATAAAGAAGGCTAGGAGAAGAAGGAGATGAGGGACAGGTTGCCCACCAGCCCCTAGCCTTAGCTAGAGGCCAACGGTGGAGGCTAGGGTTTATGAGGGGAGCTTAGAGAGAGAGTCTCTGAATTTTTGTTAGTCTAAGCATTTCTGAAATCACTTGATAAAACTTGTATATGATTGTTAGATTGTATTAAATACATGCAAATTGTAAATTTATATATGATTGGTAGATTGTGATTGTATTAAATACATGTAAATATTGTGAGTAATCCTGTTATGTTAAGCTACATTAGACCATCTCCAAAAGAGATATCAAATATGGCAAATAGGATTAAAAGATATTCAAGTGTTCTACAATGGATATGTCATATATGACATGTCATGTGAGTCATTTGACTCCTTGCTTTGTAGCTGCCTTTTTTGACAGCAAACAAAGAAGGAGTCAAATATATTTAATTTAATTTTTTAATGCATGGGTCCCCTTAACAACCAATAGAATACAAACTAAAATTAATTTTGATTATTTTTTAATAGTTAATGTAACTCTAGATCCAATAAAATAATAAAATAAATATTTAACACATCCATTGGAAAAGAAGAGGATTTAGCACTTGTATTTAATTTGTCACATCAACCATCAAATAAAATTTTGACTTACTATATTTGACATATCCTTTGAATATGCTTTTAACACTAGTGAACTTCTTATGCGATTGTGTGGTTTTAAGGTCCAAATTAAGTTGGTCAAATATTTAATATCAACAATTATGATTCTTGATTTTTCAAGTATTTGATTACAAATAAAGGAATAAGTACACATGTATTAAGGAGTGATGGATATTTGATTTACGAAAAAGAATTAGAGTTAAGTGAAAGAGAAGAAAGGAATTTAGGCTCGCAAATTCAGTCATTGATTTCAATCGACGACTAGTCTTCTGGCGGCGATGGCATTTGTGGTAAACTTGGAGAAGAGTAACCATTTTATTGCAAGTTAAGGCAAGTCGGAGGCAAGAAGTTGTGTCAAAAATGAAATGTCCAAACTACCATTAACGTCTATTTCACATAATGAATAAAAACAAAGTGAACTGAGACTAAACGAGATGAAATGACAGGTTCAAGGGACAAATTGAGGCAAACTAATTTTAGAGGATAAAATGAGACTAAATGATATTTATAGGAAGAAAATCAATTAATAACCTTTTTTAATTGATTTTCTTCCTAAAACTTTACAAAATGAGACGAAATGGCAGGTTCAATGTACAAATTGAGACAAACTTGTCTAAAGTAATACTCTCCAAAGAAATAACCTTTTTAAGTTACACAAAATCTCAACACCAACTTAAGGCCAGTATGTATAGAAACAAACTCTACATTATAATAAATTATAATTTTTTTGGGTCACATCTTAAGAAAACACGCCTTTACATAATTGTAACTTTCGCTTCCAATTGGGATTTGTGGCTTCCCTTTGCACAACTAACACAAATATTTTAAGTTAACTAGTTTTTCATATGAACCTTGGATGGCATGGCTGATTTGATAGAGAAGAAAAAAGAAAGGTACTCAACACACTTTATATACACAACAGATCCGAGGGCATAAAAAACAACGCCTTGAAGCATAAGAAAAAAAATACATATATAAAAGAAATAAAATACTTGACGTCCATGGAAACCTATTTATGACTTTATAAGGATTTTAGACGATTTGTAATGGTCCATATAAGGACCATGATTAGCCCGGCCCGCTATGTAAGCTTCAGCCTGGCCCAAAACCTGGCCTCTTCTTCCCCTCCATGTCTCTCTCAAGGACTTTTATTTGGAAAATTCTTCCGTCCAGAAAGAGTACTAATTCCAGTTAAAATTAGATGTCAAAAACTGATTTAGATAAAACAAATTTTTTTTTTTCCCATTTTAACATATTTTTTCCTCTCAAAATTTATTTCTTATTTCTAGTTTTAACGTTGAATTTTTTTTTCATTCTTTACACTATAGACCAATCCGACGGTCGATAATTAGGATTTGATTTTGTACGGAATTATAGTGCATGCAGTTTTCCTTTTTGGTAAAAATTATAATTATTGCATGTATTATTATGTATAGGATTTGCCAGCTACTTTCACACTACTAACTAATTAAGGTTAACAATAATCTAATCAAATTTAAACTCAATCATCTCAAACTCTATATAAATTAACACATAATTTTCTTAATAAATTGCGTCTTCTTTTCTCCAAGAAATTAAACACTTTAATCATGGAGCAAAAAACCACCGTCCTCTTTGTACTCTTATTCTCTTTGGCCTCCTTTCTATCTCTCCCAGTCCCAACCACCGCATCTCCGCCTGTATCCGCGGTTTTTGCCTTTGGTGATTCAACGGTGGATTCCGGCAACAACAATCGCCTCCCATTCACCCTTTTCAGAAGTGACCACCCTCCATACGGCCGGGACTTGCCAAACCACGTCCCGTCCGGAAGGTTTACCAATGGAAAACTATCAACGGACTTCATGGTCTCCATACTTGGCCTCAAGGACTTGTTACCTGCTTACCGTGATCCGAGACTGACCGACCGTGAATTGCTAACGGGTGTCAGTTTCGCGTCAGGCGGTAGCGGGCTGGATGATCTGACTTTGGCCGTGTCAAAAGCCACGAGTTTGGGGAGGCAGTTGGAGGAATTTGATGAAGCGTTGGGGAGGATGAGGAGAACTGTTGGGGAGAAGAATTGTAGTGAGATTGTAAACAACGCTGTGTTTGTGATTAGTGTTGGTACTAATGACATGGTGTTTAACCTCTTCGATCTACCTGTTACTGCGAGGAAAATCGAGTTTTCACCTTCAGGATACCAGGATTTTCTTCTCCGCGGACTCGGGTCTTTCATTCAGGTATATAATTAAATGGCTCTCGATCAAATTACATGATGAATTAGTAACATCATCTAGTGGTGTTACGATCAAATTCTAGGGTTTTTTGCTGTAATTTTTGCCATGCATGATTATGTTGGTTAATTGAGTCTATGATTCAAATGTTTTGTGTGCCTGCATGATTTGTTGTTTTACGTTTTAGGTTGTTATGTATTCCAGTTTACGAATCTTTATAAACTCTAGAGTTTATTTAGCCTATTGGAACTTTCTTCATGCAACACTTTCTGAATGAGTTGATTCTGAAGGCTTTGATGACTCCATCACGTCAACACCAAAGTGTTCATGCTCGTTCTTTCCCTCACAAAAATCAAAATTTAATTAGACTTAATTGATGGTAATTAAGATCAATTTATATCAATTGATTGTCATTACTAAGAGCCTTCGATCAAGAGATCATCTTGTACACATATAGATGTTACGACGTATAAGTTAGATGAATTTGTAACATTGGGTGGACATGCAACGCTTATAATGTTATTTGTGATATGGCAGAACCTGTACCAAAGGGGAGCGAGGAGATTCCAGGTGGCAGGTCTTCCACCAATTGGATGTCTGCCAATGCAGCTGACAATTGGCAGCGTCTTTAACGGGCTTCGGCGTGTGTGCGTAGAACAACAAAACACGGACTGTCAGGCTTACAACACCAAGCTCCAAGGCCTCATTCCCAGCTTGCAAGCCTCCCTTCCCGGATCCAGGCTCGCCTATTTCGACTCCTACAATCCCATCTTGGACATGTTCAACAACCCATCTAAATATGGTAGGTATAAATTTCGGATATTGTCATGCCCCTTATCATACCCAATACCCATTTACAGCAACTAATGTATGGTTGATATTTTTTATAGTGTATAGGCTTGTTTGTAAGTATTTTTGAAATAATTGAAAACGTTTTTTGGTCAAAATATTTTTAGAACTAATATTTAGTAAAAACACTTAGCTTTACTTCTTTCAAGAGCACTTTAAGTGTTTTTGGAACCAAAATTTTCTTTAAAAGTGTTTTCAATCATTTTAAAAGCACTTCCAAATAATCACTTAGTACTATGGTCTAGTGGTATTCCTTTTCACTTGTAAGTGAGAGATCTTATCTTTGATTATCGCCAAAAGAGAATTCAAATCACATTATTGACAGTTTATTATGAAGCTAAACCCACATTCGTAATGTAGATAATATCGTTTGTTCAAAAAAAAAAAAAAAAAAAAAACACTTCCAAGCAAGATATCTTAAGCATCTGGACATGTCTCATGCATCATACATGCAATCATATGTATATAGATGTTTTCTAGGGATTTTCTGTGCTTAATTTTTTAATTAAATTGTTTATTTTGTTTTAAATCTTGATGTGTAGGGTTTGTGCAAACGCATGAAGGATGCTGTGGTACAGGGATGGTGGAGTTGGGCCCACTGTGCGGGCAGCTTTCGCTGACGTGTCCAGACCCTTCTAAATTTTTGTTCTGGGATTCCATGCATCCTTCCCAAGCAGCGTACAAAGTTCTTGCTGACATATCTGCGAGGACGGTCTTACCGCACCTTACTGCTTGATTAAGTAGATGGATTGATCAGTCTCCTAATTTTTTCTTTTAATTATTAATTTGGACAAAGTAAATACGGCAGGATATATGCATAGAGATATTCTTAATTAATCAGTTAGATCCAAGAATCCTTTTTCCTTCATGTTTTAAAATATATAACATTGGTTAGCTTTTATTTTTTGGGAAAATAATCCTTGGTTACTTTTGAAGCGTGTAATCGCAATGGATTGTGTTTAAAAAATAATCTTGCTCAATCCTCGACCTTGTATAAAAAATTCGTATTGTTGTATTAAAAAAAGAAGAAGTAGATATATAAGAATAATAGTATTATTCATACATTTATTTTTATCTTTTACAATTTATTCAATCTGAATGTCATGTGATTCACATATGTATTTCTACTTTTTATAATTTATTCGATTTGAATGTCGAAAATTAAGAGGTGTGTGTGAATAGGAGTACCCTATAAGAATTTATGTAGTTTAATGCGTACTCATACATGTTGAGAATCTCAATCCATTTGACATCAAGGGGCTAAACTATAGTCTACAAAATAGGAGACAAATTGTATTTCCTTTTTGTGCTTTGGCTAAATTTACGAAAGATAATTCATGTGACCTAAAACGAGATTTCATAAGGAAAACGTTAATATTATTTGCAGAAACATGGTTTCAGAGATAACATATAAAAGTTGGTAATATTTTCGATTTCCAAGAAATATTGTTCTTAATCAAGCACCAAGATTTTGTTTTTTTATTGACTTAAAACTAATAAAACAAAGAATACGAAGAAATAGGAACCTAAAAACTCACAAAACAATGTACATATATGACCACGAAACTGTGCATATTTGGTAATGCCAAAAAACACATTCGTCTGTTTTAAACCTCGTTATTCAACAATGTTTGAATCTTTGCTAATAATATTGCTATCTATATATCATGGATCGATACAAGACAATACATACAACAAAAGCAAATGACCGAACAACTGAACAAATAGTGGCGATCATTATACCTTTTTGTGACGGTAGAATATGACAATGGTTAAGTTCAATTTCATGAATTTTGTCAAATTTAGTTTTGGAAAGTACCTCAAGATCTCACTTAGAATAACATTGTCTCATTCATAAAGTGAGGTCCAGAGTACTTGCCATGTTCTTCCCGTGCTTGCCGTCACCGTGACCAGTACCCTCTAATTTCTTGACGCCAAGCTTCGAGGACGACAACGAAGACAAAGTGAGAGATAAACTACAACCCATGAGTAGTTTTTGATGATTATCACCACCATACTGTAAACCCTTTCCGAATCCATGATCATGTTTTGGTGGAACTTTTAGTGACAGATTTAAATCTAAGTCACAGTTGTCTGTGTCCAAACCCTTCCTTTTCAGCATGTTTTGCCCTTGATGGTCTCGAATCGCTGCGGTCCAACTATGATGATCTTGGCATGACCTGTGGATCATGGTTTGACACAATTCGTCCCGATTCCTTCTCCAAGTGGTTTGTCCATGGGTGGGAGATGGAAGATTTGTATATAACTGATTTGCTGAAATCGTCATAATGTTGTTATTGTTGCTTCCAAGTATTCTTTCAGCAACTGAACCATAAAGTCCAATATTTCTGGTATTATGATCAAGTAGTGCACTAGTCCTACTTGAACTGTAAGGACTGTAAATCTGGTGGTGGTGGCCTCGCCACGAGGAATGATCATTAGCACCATATCTAATACGCAAAAAAAAAAAAGAAGGATTGAAATGGTTACGAATAGGATTCAATGAAAAATGAAAAAATAAAAAACACTTTAGTTATAAATGGATCAAAATAGACAGTAAAATTAAGAAAAGTATTTCATACCTTAATCCGGAAGAAGGCCATCGGTTGAAGCTTTGTAGCATGGAGAGTTGAGTAAGGTTGTAAAGTTGGTTATCTCCACCTTCCATGAAAAATCCTGCTTGATCCGTCAAAACTGTCATATAAGAAGAAAGCAAGATCTCTCTAGATTGTAAATATGTAAACCCTAATTTTTGTACTAATTATTGTAGGAGTAGGTGAGCCTGTGTGCAATTTGTTAATTTGCTCACCTTGATTGGGGTCTTCCGTCTTCTTGCTCCTATACATCTGATGATTAAAATCAAAGCCAGAAAATATAGAACAACATTAATCAGATATGAACCTTTATTTTATATTGAATCATAGTATTGAATCTTATGGACAGTACAATTAGTAGAGAATATATATATATATATATATATTTAGATGATGAAATCGATCTAGAGCAAATCAATTACTTGAAGATGGCTCTTGACATGAGCTATGCTAAGACCCTTGACATTCATCAATTGAAGAACCAACTTAGGAGTTGCTCCTGCACCATTAAATCACAATTATTAGTACTCAATTAATCACAAAAACCTAGCTTTGATTTATATGTACTACACTTACTTTCCTGTCCACCTAATCTTTCAACTGCACGAACAAAGCAAAGATGGAGATCAGGTGTCCATCGAAGCCGCGATGTCTTGGAACGAACATACTGCCTTACAGATCCAGAAGCTCCCTTCTTTTCATGATTCTCTTCAATGGTGCTATTGCTTGAGCTGTCACCGTTATTCCTCAGCTGAAGGCCATCTTCATCCACCTCATCCTCTTCACCCTCATCGTCTTCGTGATCGTATTCCTTCTTGCTGGTAGAAGGGCTTGATTTAGAAACTTCTTCAATACTGGTGCTTTCACTCTTCATCCCTAATCTCTTTTATGTTTTGCTTCCTAATAATATGGTATTGATGGGCAAGTTAAGGAAAGATCTTGAGATCATCATACTTCTCTTAACCACTAAGTGATCTTTGATGTTTGGGGAGATCCATTCTTTGCATACAAGCTAGCTATAGGCAGTTGATGAGCTAGCACTTGCAGGAATGGAGAAATTGGAAATTGGAATTTTATATATATCCTTGCTAGCTATGACACATATATGATAATAAGTATTTAAACGTCTGTTTCTCACTCTTCTTCTCTCTATATACAACATACAATATTATATGACCTTGCATATATAATGCAAATTTTGTCCAAGCTTTCGGTATGTATATATAATATACATGAGAGTTGCTGTTGACATTCTAAGACCATCTACAATTCTTGGGTAAAAATTTAAAATTTTTAGTCCAGAAAATTAGGTTTTAACCCAAAAACAGTTTTTTTACTCCAACCCTTGTGGTTAAAATTTTAGCCATAGATTATAAAAGAATGAATGTAGACTACTATTTTTTTTCCTTAAATTAACTTTTTTAAAAGAAAAAATTATGTAGACTATCCTAATTTAATTTTATGAACAATTTAACCCAAAAATATTTAGATTTCGACAAATATTAAAAATCACTAACTGACACCATGAAACTCATGAAACACTATAAAAAATTATGAAACACATAAAAGAATTTTTTTTAATTACTTTAGCAGTTGGATTTAAATTTGGACCGTTAGATATTGTTTTACCGTTGGATTTTATCAAATTAGATCTTAATCGTTGGATTCAATGGATTTATAAATATAAAACTAAAAAAAACATACATATATGGTGGGTCAGCCCCACTAATCCTAGGGAGAATCCAGGGCTAAATTTGGCCCAGAAATGAGTTATGAGCTTTAACTCATATTTGCCTCAAGGGTTAAAGCAAGTTGGAGTAAATTTAGAACCTAAAATTTGAGGACTCCAAGGGTTGGAGTAGGTCTAAGATACTCATCCTGCACTTTAAATATATAAAAATATAAGAAAAAAATGTACATAAAAAGGGTGAATAATGATTTTTTCAGGTGTTAATAACATTTCTCTACACACACATATATAATACATGGATACATCAAATTATTTAAACAAATAATTGCATGCTTATTGGTATAGTAGAATATATATAATGATAAAACATACAAAAAAAATTGTTTTACTTAATATATGCACGAAACTACACAAAAAAGAAAAGAAAAAGGAAAGAGACTGGGATTTCCTTTATATACTGTATATAATATACAGATTACATAACTGTGTCATTTCCAAATCTAGTTACTGTGTGCTTAATGCTTTATACTAATCATACGATATACATTTTTTGTTGTTAATAAATAATAACACATGTAGATTTTTGCTATAAGTAATAGTTCATCTTCCCCCGTTAGTTTAATTTGTGGTGCAAATTATATGATTAGCATCTTTTTTATTTCTTTGGCAAATTAAGGGATCTATTGTAACATTTTAGATTCAGATTACTGTTACTGTTTCCTGTTTGTAACGTTGTCATGTCGCTTAAGGGCTAAACATATACCACATGGGAAACTAGTAGTCAACTTTGAGTTGAAAAGAAACAGTGATTTGCACGCGACCTGTGAAACAATAAGAATCCTGTGGTTGTACGTAGCTTCATAAAAAAAGATGTTCAGGTCGTCTGCTCGTGACTTGTGTTTGGAAGAAGGGATACCCCTACCTCATTTACATGCATTAACATTTAACACAGACACACATATATATACTGTTATACACACATATACATATGAGTTGGCAATCGTGGGATCGTCTACCTTATTTTTGGTCATTAATCCAAATCCTGTTGCAGAAATGTTGGATAAACCAGTTTGCGCTTGATACTATTTCTGCTTTCTTACGTTCAAGTTTGAATCTTTTTTCTCGTAACTTAGTAGAATAGCGTATCGTCAAAACAAAAAATATAAAATCCTGCTAGCTAGCCCTTTCATATGCTCAGTAGTCACCAGATTAGCAAATTTATTATATTGGGAAAATGCCACTGTCATTTTGCCAAAGAATCATGGGTATATATTTGTCCTCACTGAAAGATCAATTCAAGTAATTAAACAATCATTTGGGAATGCTCTAGAATTTGGAATTCATGCATTACTGGCATCCAACGAACTAAAATTACTATTACTAGCATATAGGCACACACAAAGTGTGTGAGAAAATTTTTAATTTTTGTTTTTGAAATAGAAGGAGAGAGGAAG